GCTTCCAAGCAGCACCGCCAGCCTCCCCACGGCTGCTTGGGCTGAGAACAGGGGGGATCGGGAAGGAACACGGTGTTTTTTAGAGGACGGGCGGGACCAGGGGGCGCGGGCGGGGCTTCGCCCCGCCCGCGGCCCCTGGTCCCTCCCGTCCTCTGAGGCCGCGTTGCGTGTGGTCATGGCGGCCCGCCCTTCCATAGAGGCTTTCCCGCAGCCTGTTCCTCAGAACACTGCTAATTGCGCTTATACCTGGTGTTTATTAACAATAAACAGCCCCCACACACACTTCGCCCAGCACCTCGCGAGGGGAGACCTGCTAATACTCGGAGAACGTCTTTAGACTCCACGCTGCACAAAAAGTCAGGATATAATTCCCTTTAACAGTTTTGAAATCTGTTCCTTCAATGTAGCAAGAGACTAATTTGTGGGGAGCTTGTTTTTTTGGTCTATGGAAACACAGCCAGTAGGTAAGGAAGCGTAAGTAAAACTTTTAACTACAAAATAACTCTTACCAAAAGATAAAGGAAGTGTTTCAGGACAAACAAGAACAGCTAAATCTGCTCGCAAATTATAGAAGTCTTAGGCAATGAGGGTGGCAGAACGATTTCCATTTTGTTATTCATGCTGGAAAAAGCATTTCCACTTTACAGACTTCCAGGTTAATTTTTTTTATTTTTTTTTTTAACTCCATGCAGCCCAGGTCAATGCCCATGACAGAGCAGAAGCAGCACAACACAGATGCTGTGATCAGCTCATGATCTACAAGATGCAGCAGTTAGGTCCTATTTCTAGAGAACCAATGCTGCCTGCCTAGACCATGTCCAAACTGGGACTTGTTTGATCCTGCATTACTCTTCATAGCACATGTAGACTTGCTTATTAGTCAGAAGGAGGGTTATCTGAGGAAAACCCTATGAAAGAGTACACTTAAAAAAAAATAATCAAACTTAGTAGATGCAAAGATCACATCTCTTCTGCAGACAAGATTTAGCTGGTCTGAATGCAATGTTGAATTACAGTTCATATAAACTCCACCTACTGAAGATATGGAAACAGCTTCTGCTGAATGAGGAAAATTTCAATGTCTGCTCTGACAGTTCTTCCAAGAACAGACTGAAATATTTGAATCTACAGTTAGTTTCCCGCCTAAAGTCCATAAATAAACAAATACAACTCAGTTGATTAGTTTAATAAGGCTACCATATTACAGACTAATGCAAACATTAGAATAGTTACATAGTAATTAGTGTATCAGATCTCATCATGAATAAATCCAATAGCTAAAGGGATTAAAAATATTAAGTTATTTCATTGAAGTAACCCATAAGAATGGATACAACAGTTTAAATTTGGTATACACCTTACTAGATGCTTTGTCTTCAAAACTAATCGTTGCTGTAGTAAATACGGCCCTATTAGAATGCCTACGTTACTTTTATTTCTTAAACTAAAAGGTAGATCATGCAATTCTAAAGAATCTATAGGAATTGCAACAGGAAAACAGTAGATTAGCAATATACAATCAAACTGTTTTAGGAAGTGTTAAACCTAGTCCTTAATTCGATATTTAAGGAATCATATTTAACAAAGTCACTAATGTTTTGTGAGTACTGAAATAGACTAGGTTTACCACAATTTTGAAAAAAGGCAGAAGCTTATAAATCCAAAAGTTTAATAAGTCAATGCAAGTTTTAGGTAGCTCCTCTCTCAAAGTTGCTAAAAAACAAACACCCACCCAACGTAAAAAAAAAACCCAGTCTTTAACCACATCTCATTAATGTTGGTTTTCACTCTTCTATGTCAGCACTTGTTTCTTTGAGCGCATTGCTCTGGTTGTGGATAAATGCAGTGGCTTTTGATTCCAATTCTCCCAGCTGTTCAAATGAAAGGACACATGGATCTTGGTCTTTAACAGTGTCCGACAGCTTGCACATCTTCTCCCGAAGGCGTTGAGAGTATCGCAAAGGGGTTACAAGTTTCAGGTCTTGGGCACTGGAGTCATTTGCCTCATGATGCATCTTAACACTTGGGAAGAAAAGAAAAATAAGTCAGTAAACATAGGAACACCATCATACAGATTACCTCTGTTGCCATTTCTGATAGATGTAAGTCATAATTCCTGTTCAATTCTGATTCCCATATCTGAAGGAAACAGGCCCCTTCCCATTCGTACAGTTAAAACCAGATGTACAATCCTTTTCTTGGGCAAAATATTTTAGTCTGGAGAACCTCCTGAAAATAATTTCCAGAAGGAAAATTCCACCCTATTTCATCAGGGGGAAACTGTTCTTCCTGCTATGAGGGAGAACAGACAGCTGCCAGGAGCCCAGCTTCAACAGATGCCAAAACTGAGCACAACTTTCTGAAGCCTGATATCTTAGAAGAAACCTTATGGCAAAAACATGGATTTAGGTGTTATCTGTTTTGTAGATTACTACACAGAATTTTTGCCTCAAGATACAATCAAGATTACAGAACAGTTATATCTTGCTCACTTCTCCTGTTTTGTGCAACATACAACCACAACTATACTTGAAAAAAGGAGGACTGGAGACAACTACTTTCTGCACTCAGCTAGGTAAAGAGAACTGCTACTGCCATGCAGGGTCTGGGAGGGGATCCTAAGCCTGGAATTTATACCTCTGCCAAAGAGGTTTAATGACTCTGTAGTGAGGCATTCAAAAAGCAAAGCACTGAGTAAATAGAGAAACTTATTTAAAAATCCTTCTGAAGGAAGTAAGAGGAAGCAATCCTACAAAACTAAGATCTTGAGAGATTTTAATTAAGTGTTCATAAGTGCAGTGCCTCCCTGTTTCAGCAGAGCACAAACATTACTGTTACCCCAGACCCTGCAAACTTTCCATTGTTATCTAAAGAAATCTTACCATTCCAAGTATGATGTCATCAATGGATTGTGTCTCATTAAATAAGATGTATCATTCCCCTCAGGAGAATTAACTGCTTGGGCTGTATTTTTTACCTCATCCTCATTCTGCTCTTCTCTTCCACATTTTCCTTTCTTTTTTGTACGTACTTTAGTCTTGTGCTTTTTATTCTTTTTTAGCAAGATCTCTTCTCTTGGTTTTAGGTTTAAATCCACTTTTTTTATCAATTCACTGCTAGTCTCCGCCTCCTTGTCATTACTGTCTGCTTTTTGGTCAGAGCCGAGATCCTTGAAGGCCTCCTGAATCTTCTCTACAGATGAATTTGATTCTTTGTTGACTTCCACTACCTCACTTAAATGAGCTTCTATCACAGTTTCCCCTAAAATTGAAATATTGAATAAAAGTACAGATGTGATTAAGTACAAAGAAAAGAAAAGATAATGTTTTAGAGAGATCTCTAAAATCTTAAAGCTTTATATGAAAATGAAAGTATGTGTTGAGTCTGAGCCACAGAAACTTAAGTTACTAATAATTTTACCCACCTTCAAGAACCTGCAACCTGAAAATTCAGGCTAAGTACATACTGAGAAGTCATTCTCTTTCTTACCAAGCACAGCAGCTCTGAACATTTCAGTCATTATCTGGGATCAAATACTTGTCAGGTTATATTATATTGAACAGGAATGTATATGACTACTTTGCTTGAAAAACTGCAATATTTACTGCCTTTAATTGACACTATGCCGTAATACAACTATTCATCTGCTATTGAAGGAGTTTGTGTCAGAGGCAACTGATTCCTAGCTCAAGAACTTTTTATTTACTCTTTGATTATCAGGCTAAAATAGCTGGACGACATTGCTTTGATAGAATTTAAGTAGAAAGTTTGAATATGAAAGTATCTCCACTACTCATTTTAACATGCCCACAACTGAAAAAAATTAGCTTAGTCAAAGTTGTTCGGAAAGACAATTGAGTACAAAATGATCACAGATAAGGTTCCATTAAATAGAATTTAATATAGGCACAACAGTTAGCTCGTGTTGCCTGTCAAGGCAGACATTTAACTAGAATACATTACTCCAACTTACCATCCTCAGACTTAAAAAGGCTTTCAGTATTTTTCATAGTATTTATTAGTGTGTGGCGTAGTTCATCTTTAGGCTGGAAAAAAAATTGTATTTTTTTTAGAAAAACAATTCCAGAGTTAATCATAATTTCATCTTATTTGGTATAACAGTTAAAGCAGTACAGACCACATGATGTTCACATTACAAACCCTTTATTTAATGCTGTTCAGAGACATAAGTCAGAACAAGTGAATGCTGTATTCTCTGTATTTGGTGCACTAAGGCTGTATTTGATGTCCTGAAACCTTGTTGATATTAAGGTACAGGAATTCAGTCCATCAATAAATATAAAAATAAGTTCTGTTTTGGGTTTCTAGTGATACTCTAAGTCTCAACCCTTCATTTCTTCTAGGCAGAACATCATATGATATTTTGATGATCCTAAACCTTTCATCTTGGAAGTAGTATCTACAGTGGTTATGGAGCAAACCAAATCCAGTTTACGTTCAGGTGGGTCACATGGCTCTTCTACTCTAGAAAGGACTTTATGAAATACAACTATTTCTGTTTTCCATATACTATATTAGCTTGCCTTTATATTTAAACTCAAACTTCGACAAGCTGCTCACCATTGCTCCTGCCAAAATGGCCTCCTCATAGACAGCAATAAGCTTTTCAAGAGGGCCCATCTGTTCAAGACGAATACAGCAGATCCAATATTTTGCAAGCTTTTTAGCCTCAGGAATGCTTTGTGTCAGATCATCCAACATGGCACGTACTTCATCACTTTGACATCCCTGAAGTCAACACAAGAGCAGAGATTTAAATGCAGTGAACATTTTGAGGTGCTGTATTTTAGCTGGTTTTGAACTAGAAAGCAAGGGATTTTTTCTTTTTTGGAAAGTAACGCTGAAATTTGAAAGTAGCAGGTATTTCCAACTGAACTATGATCTTGGGTAAAAGAACTGTCATTCACTTATACTTCCAAATTAGATTTATACAGTATTGTAAGTAGAAGGGATAGTAGAATGCATAGACATCTTTAGAACTACTTTAAACCCAACTTTTTCAGAAGTCCAGGCAAGTTTCTACAAATGCAAACTTGTTTTAAAATAACTACTTCATAGCTACTCTCCTTACATTATAGCTTTTCTACTTTATTATGTTACCATTATTGCCTAATCTTACTGGGTAGTTCAGTAAGTTAGTGAAGCTTAAGGAAGAACTAATTTCTTCGGGTATTGACAAAAAGCTATACTATTGCTTGACTTGGGGAGCTATTAGTCCTCTGCATCTGATTCACAGGTCCAGCACACCCATAGGACTTGCATGTTATAGCAACCTGTATGATTAGAACTTGGTAGGCAAAGGAACTGAATACCTGTTCGGTTAACTGCAGACATTCCGAGAGAGTCTTGTTGACCTTTTCACTATGTAATACATGCTCTAAAGAATCACCAGAAGAGAGTTCGTGTTCTTCATTTTTAGACTGGGGTCCCAGAAGCACAGATATAGGAGGTCTCCTCATTACTTTTCCTCTAGATACCCTCCATTTATCCAGGCGAGCTCTGCATTTAAGAATATTAGCAGCTTAAGTGACAGACTTTTATTTTTAAAAAAAAAAAAAAAAAAGACTGAACAACACTAACTAGGGTAAGGCATACAAATATGTACTTTCCAGATAATCCTTGAGTCCTCAGACTTTAATCCTAAAAGGAACACAGCTACCATTCAGACCTGCATGGACATTTCAGAACAATGCATATCTATCTGCTTTAGGTTTCTATCAGGTCAGAACACTTTAATCTCTCAACTTCCAGCAACAAGAGACTTAGGCTACAGACCATTTTTTTCAAGAGAGGGTAAAAAAATGCTTCCGATTTATTCATCTGTGCCACCTCTCTTCCCTAATCCCACTTCAAACCAGAAAACTAGAAGCCATCTCTAAAGACAGAAAGCATGGAAAGCAGCCCAGAACAAGCCTATCGCACAGCTTTTAAAACCTTAAAGTGATGCATGTGTAGTTCAGTCTTCATATATGTTTAATTTCAACCCCAACCCACTAAACCACCAATTTTTAGTAAGCATGACTTTCTACAAGGAGCTCTACCAATAATACTAAATAACTTTTAAGTGATGAATCTTCACCCCATCATTTAAGCTGCATTCTCCAAGTTGAAAAATACATAATTGATAAGTTCTCTCCATAAACATGCTCACTCCTATATACATCCTACAGTTTGTTGGGTTTTTTTTTTTTAAAGCAGTTGCATGCACATACAATTCACTTACAGGATTGTATGTCATGATTAAGGCTGTCATGACCCTTGCCTAAAAGCCAAACAGCTCAAGCAATATACATTTTTACTTTATAGCTGCACAGGGCAAGCTGTAAGCCTGAAGAGCTGCTGCAATTCTTCTAGATCCTGATTTCTCAACATTAAGTCTACAATTTTAGTCTGCTATCCTTAGGCATAAAGTTCAAACACTCCATTCTCTTATTTTTCACTGGATCTACAGCAAAAAATAGATATTCTTGGAAATAAGGTCTAAATACCTCCCAAGGTCAAGCTATAACAGTAACTCAGTTACCTCCTCTCTTCTGCTGACTCTTTTGGCAGAACAGATTTTCTGTAGCCATTAGTTTTAGAATCCTGTCCTGACTTTGTACCAGGAACAACAGAAATTGGTTTTGCTGGAGCTTCTGGTCTTGCATCTTCATAAAAATCCGCACATTTCTTCATTCTTAGTACTCTGTTGTCAGAATTGTTAGGAGTAGCCTTCAGTGGCTGTGGTGCCCTTCCACCAATGATTTTCTGGACTGTTACTTTCTTTGGTGCTACAGCAGATGTTGCTTGCCATTTCTTCAGACAGGACTGTGAGTTAAGAGCAGATTTGTCAGATGGTTTGCTCTGGAATGGGAGGACACCAGTTGGTTTTACAGAATTAGGATTGTTTGTGACTTTGATGGTCTTCCGAACTATACTACAGCTGCTCATGGATAAGGAACTTGGTGCTGGTTTGGTGGCAGAAGGAAGAATCTTCTTGCCTGTCAAAGAACTATTTTCTCCCCCATTTTTTGGTGCTTTTCGGAAGGAGTTTATCTTGGATTGGATAACTTTGCCACGATACGTACCAAGCACTGGTTTCTTTGGTAGGCCAATACTTGAATTTTGTTTATCTCCAATCAACTGCTTCTTTTTAATGTTTTTTATTTGCAAGAAAGACTTGGTAATTGACACACGCTGAGATTTTGTTTCAGTAACTTCATCCTTGGAAGCACAATCTTCAGGATTATAGTTTGTCCCCGATATGGAATTTGTCAGTCTGATTGTGGAAGAGTTTAAAATAACATTTTTTTTGGAGGTTCTGCTTAGTTGGCCCCATGACAGTTTATTGGAATTCTCTTTATCTTCCTGAAATCAAAAGCATATCCATGGAGATGTTACAAGTACATTCATGCTGCATGTTACTTACTTCCAAAGAGGCTTTCACTCACAGGACTAAAGTGTTTAACAGTAAATTCCACTTTAAAAGTATCTACAAGAGTAATGTATATATACCGAGTAGAATATTTGTCATCTATTACGGCAGAATTCACATTAAAAAAGTCAAATAAGGATTCTTTAAACTCTGCCTTGGAAGTAAAAAGGCTTAACCTGAGGGCTACACTCTTCTTACAGAAACACGACTCTCAAAGCAACTGCTGGCTTTTAACTGCCAAAATCCCCTTCCAAGAGTCGTAAAGTAGAAATGTGCTTTAGGATGTATACAGTCAAAAGCAGCAGTATCTCAGTTTGCATACCCCATCACTTAATGGCAGCACCATTTCTCTACTTAGTGTGGATAGACTACTAACACAAGGTAGTAAAGCCTTTAATCGGGAATTGGGATATGTTTCCAGAAGAGGGAGATTTTTCTTCTTACTAATGAGTTGTAGGATGCCATAGTTAAGAATAGACATGCATGTTTTATATGGGCTTACTACTCTGTGGAACTCTCAACCATGTGTTCTTAGCATAACCCTAGCCAAGAGTCCATGAGAAGCGGGACCTAGTCTTTTCCGCCAAAGATGCTGCTCTACAGCAACTTAATTCAACGTTGTTCAAGCAGCAGCTTATAGAAGAGGGAAAGATCCAAAGGCAGGGAAAAAAAGTGAATGACACATGGAAGTCTGCAGAAGCTGATATTCTTCTTTGAGGAAGATGTACTTGAACTGTAAGAAAACTACACCACATCTCAATTCCTGGTCTGTCATTCAGCCTTAGAAGTCAGATTTGAGTAAGCCAATAACTAGAGCTTCTTGGGTACAAGGGCTGTTATTTCAGGAAGGTATGCAGTTTAGCTCAACTTTAAAATCACATGAGACATTAACACAGACCAAAATATCTCCCTTCAGGAAATTTCTAAAAACACTTTGTTCTCATTCTTGGAATTTTTCCCCACAACACTCAGTTTTGAAGTTTTAAGGGTTTTGCTTTCCTCAAAGATTACCATGTGCCTCAGATCGTTGAGTACCCAAACTCAGAACCATTTAACATGAACACAGGTTTGTGTCTAGGTTTTTTCCCTTATCTTTACCTGCGAACAGGCATGGAGAAGAATCTGTATTGCGCTATTTCTAAACAGCACAACCATGTGCATCTTAATTCTGGAAAAGTGACACAAAGTGTTATAGGGAAGACATTCCCTTGAACTCTGATCAGATATTAGCATCTACTGACTATATTAGATTTGCCAGCATCGTAACTGAAAAAAAACCCACACACACATGCAACAGCTACTGTTGTTTGGAAAAAAACAAACAACTAACAGAGTACAGTAGAAGAATTGTACTCTGTTAGAAGACAGAAGACCTTGCTCAGATGTAGATAACTTTCCCCAAAGACTTAAAATATATCAAAAGAGTTCTGGGAGTCCTAAAAAAGTTAATGTAATCATTATTTCGGCAATAACGGTATTCTCTAATACCCATTCCAATCAGGTACAAACTGAGTATCAATATGATCCATTACATACAGTAACGCAACAGCTCTCCAAAGAGCATATAATAAGCAGTCACTGAATGAAGTTTTAACAAACTGCACCTCTTTATCTGCAAACTTCTTGTGCTCTGGAAATTGTATACCATAAATACGGCTTGAGTGGAATGTTGTAGCCAGAGGAACAGAGTGCCATCAGTATTTGAATACAGTCAAAAACTTACCATTTCTGGCTTTGAAGATATTGAGAACTGTATTTTGGCTTGCAGTTTATTGCTAGTTGCTCTCCTGGTTTTGCTACTGCTTAAAAAAAAGAAAAAGAGGCATCTTAAGTCATCCTGCAACATAACAAAGTAAGTTTACATAGTCCAGGTAATGGACTGAATTCACACTGAAGCATTTCTGTTCAGCATATATACTTCCTCCAGAAAAAAATAAATGGCTAAGCAACCACTGATCAGAGCCCAGGCTGCAAAACATGCCTCCTTACACCCTAAAGAGCTGACTAACAGAGGGGAAGAGAACAGACCCTATTTACTGCAAGTGCCATTCTCATGTCAAAGGATGAGCACCAACCTGTCTGGCGTGATGCATAGGCTACAGGCCAAGTTTGTAAATGCTGCAGTTGAGGGTGAAGGGGAAGCAGCACAAGGAATTGAAGCTCAGCTAGTGCAATCATCAGAGGCCAGGCATTTGGGACGAGCCTGAACAAGGATACACACTAACAGGTTCTAAAACCAGTAGTCCAGCACCAGAGCTGGCATCAGACTACCCAGTTAGTAACAAAACTACCAAGACCAGTATTGCCTAGTAGCAACTATGAAAATGTAATGATAGCTCGGAAGAAAACCATCTCAGTTTAAAGTCACAAATCCAAATTCTTCCTCAAACACTCCATGATGCATTATATGAAACATGTGACATTACTGCATGTGAAAATTAATATTCCGGTTAGCAACTGATATCTTTGCATCAGATGATCTTCTGAAAGCCAGTCAAGTTGAAAGTGAAGATACATTAGTGAAAATAATTAGTAACTTTGAAATGTTGCAGAAAGCACTGTGTCATACTATCACCTCCATGTCACCTGTGATAAAGAATACACATTAAAGGAACTGATCGTAAGTTATAGAATCATTTAAGATAGAAGAGACCTTTAAGATCAAGTCCAACCATAAACTCAACAGTGCCAAGTCTACCACTAAACCATGTGGTTATGTGGCACATCTAAAGGTCTTTTAAATACCTCCATGGACAGCGATTCAACCACTTCTCTGGGCAGCCTGTTCCAGTGCTTCATAACCTTTTCAGTGAAGAAGTTTGTCATAATAACCAATCTGAATCTCCCCTGGCACAACTTGAGGCAATTTCCTCTCATCCTATCACTTGTTACTTGGGGGGTAGGGAGGGGAAAGGCAGACACCCAACTCACTACAACTTCCTTTCGGGTGGTCAACAGTGTAGAACAGCAAAAACTCCACATCAGCTGCAAACTAAAAGCATTCATCATATCCACATACATGATGGCTCTAAACAATGAGCTAAACAGAGACCATGAAAACCTCTGGAATTTAATAGCTGGAGAATAAACAGAGGAAGGAAAAGTAAAATAGATCAAATGCTAAATTGAGAGTATTGCTACAATGAAAGTAGTTGGCAGTAATTTTTTTTAACACAAGATAGTTCTCTACAACACAAAAGCACTTGCCTTTTCCTGCTACACAGAACAAGTCTTTGACAGATTTATCCTTGTCATTTATGTGTATTTTATATTTAAAGGTCATTATTCAGTTAGATTTGTACTACCAAGTAGTTCTGTACTACTGACACAGGCCCATGCTACCTTGAGTATACAAAATGTCAAGCAAGACTTCCTTCCCATTTAGATGGGAACAAGTTTCAGATTGAAATTTACCATTTGCAAAAACATTGCTACACCATGAACTAACGTTAAGAGTTAGAACCTTCTGTACTCCTTCACACCACTGTCATCTCTAGAGAAACTCCTGTTATTAGGTTTTAATTCTACATGTCTAGACTTTAGAGTGGAAGATTTAAATACAAGTCAATAAAAGGAAGCACTCCTAATTGTTGATAAGTGCCCACATTCTCTTTACAGAACATTATGCCTGCGTGATGAACATCACACACTCTGGGTTTTATAACAGTATATTTGTTTATAGCATAAAATAATGAATTAGTAACCACAAAACCACAATGAAGCTTGATCAGGTGGATTGTGAACACATGCAGCATAGCCTGAGAGAAAAAAATTTATTTGCAGAAGGAAGGTTATAGAGGCAAAGTGGCATCTGAAATAAGAGCTCTGCCATGAAGGTATCCTGTCCTGTCTTAGTCTCTAGAGGAGCACATAATATCATCCATGAATTGGATCTATTCTGCATTTGGTTAACAAAAACTTTCAGTATTTACTGACAATAAAAGGACTTTAGGAAATTCATGTGGTCACCAGTCTTGTTGTGTGGTCTCACTTTTTGGTTGAGGTTCTCTGCAAGAACTGCTATTTGTGTCTCTTCCATCAAATATAGACCTTTATAAAGGAATATAATCCATAGCAGATACACTACCTGATTGATGCCTGGTTTTCTTGACTGAGCACACCAGAAAAGGTCTTTTTTCTTGATAGATATTCTTCAACTTTTTGTCGTCTTTGTTCTAGTGAGTTTAAAAAAGACTTATTAAGTTTTCAGCTAAAACAGTAATTCCAAGTTTTGTCACTTAGAAAAAAAGGTAATTAAAATAGCATCAAGACATTATGAAACAGACACTGTAGATTAAGAAAATCTTTATTATTAACTTTTTATTATGTTTTAGACATTCATTTCTTGAGAAAGACTATATTCAAGGAGTGGTTGAATGCAATTTCACAGCTATACAAGATGACTGTTTTGCTGCATTAAGCTAGAAGAAACACGATTTTGCGATGGGAAAAAGTTAGGCTCACTCTTCCGGGTGACTGTGCAGTATTTCGCATACTTGGCGTTGGTTCAGCAAGCACAATTTTCACTTGTGACAGTCGTAAGATACGTATAGCACATGTGAAAAACAGCATGCACGTGAACCCAACTGAACATCTGCAAAATCATTTGCTTCCCTTCCATTGTCATCTGCACAAATGTTGGGACCAGCAGCAGCGTTAATAACAGCACAAGATGATCACATCCTCACAGTCAGTCTAGACAGTTAAGACTCCAAGTCTTACAATTGTTTCACATGCAGTGGAATGTTAAGCAAGAAGTTAAAGCATAGTCTTCTGAGTCTTTTGACTCAGAACAATTCCTTTATGGCATTCAGGAACTCATGGCATTGCACCATCATCCATCAGACAGGCTTATTCAGCAGTGGAAGTCTTCAATGAACTCACATATCGAACCCAACTTCTGTCCCTCCTAGACAGGCATAAATCCCCTTTTGAATATCTTCCCTATTTTGACTTGCCCAGTGTTCTTGATTCATGCTTCAGAAATCTCTGCAAGGTCCAACAACACATCCCCTCCACAAGAAGATATTTCTGTATTACAGAAGTCGAGACTGTAGGAATTGCTAAAACATTATTGCTTTTGAGGACCTGAACGTTAATCCTCAAGAGGATTAGGCACTTGATTGCACACACTCCGTAAAGGTGAAGAGGTGTACACCAGAGATGTGTGTACCTTCCGAGAGATGCTGCACAACAGCAAACTCAGCGTGCATCCTAGAGCCTCCCAGGCACCTTCTGCTCCAGAAACTCGGGTCTTACAGCACAGCCCCATCAAAACAATTCAGTCCGTTTGACTTGCAGAAGCCAAACCGCTCAAAAAATAATAAACTGAAGAGCGCAGGCGTAGATACGAGCATTCGCTTGTTTCGACAGAATGGTCTGAAGTTGATGCGTGCCTTTTGTCATGAAGAAAGGCTTTCATTTCAGAAGCCCTGCCGAGGGGACAGGGGGAGCAGAAAGCACCGGTCCCAGCCCTTCGAGGGGAAGGTCAAGTCTCACAGACCCGCTCACACCCACCGGTCAGAAGCTCTAATGCCACGGGCGCTGCTGCCAAGACCTGCCCAGTCTCCGACCCCGGCTAAGGCTCTTGCCCTTATCTCCCGCTTCCCGGGGAGAGCGACCAGCTCCGCTGTCCCACCAGCTCCTGCCCTACCCGCCGCGGCCTAGCCCGGAGCTACGCGGGTCGATAACGACAGGCAGCCTCGGCTTGACGCGACCGGGAGAGGAGAGCGGCTCAACCGCCTTGGGTCTTTGCCTCCCGGTGCCCCCCCGCCCCGCAGCCTTACCTTGGTACTCCGGCTCGGACCTGCGGCTGGCCGAGAGCTGTAAGGGAGGCCGCGCCGCCATGCCGCTGGCGGGGAATGGCTCCCACGGGCCGTTTGAATCACCCGCCGCACCGCGCCTCCCTGATTGGGCCAGCCGCGGCGCTTGAACTGGCCAATGGCGAGCGGGGG